CCAGAAGCAAAAATGTCATGGAAATTGGAATGGCACACCTGAATAGGTTCCCTTGTAAGGTATTCTTAAAACTTTCAATTTTGACGATGCACAGTTAATGTTACTCGGTAGAATATCAAGTTACAAAAACTGTTTCAATCTCTTCTTGTGCAAGTGATAGATAAATCTTGATTTTCTTTTTTTTTCTTAAATAAGATCACTCACTCTCATTACTTTATTTCCATAACTATGAAATTCGTATGCAAACTTTCTATTTCTAGTTCAAATGGGTATTGGTACAATTCCAGATTGTGTATTAAAATCTCTTGAAGATCATAAAGATTTAAGTATAGCATCAGAAATGATATCTGATGGTGTTATGACATTAATGGAACTTGGTGTTGTTACAAATCGTTATAAAAACTTTCATCCTGGAATAACAACATGTACATTTATATTGGGTACAAAAAAACTTTATGATTTTGTTAATGATAATCCAAATATATTTGCTTTTGATGTTGGAATAACCAATGATCCAGCACGAATTCGTCAAAATCCAAAAATGTGTGCTATTAATGCTGCTATTGAAGTTGATCTTACTGGACAAGTTTGCGCAGAATCATTAGGTACAATGCATTATTCAGGTGTTGGAGGACAAGTTGATTTTATGCGTGGTGCTGCATTAAGTGAAAAAGGAAAACCAATTCTTGTTTTACCATCACAAACATCAAAAGGAATTTCACGTATTGTTAATACAGTAAGTTTCTATATTAGTTCTTAGTGTTTTGTTTTTTTTTTCTTTCGCTTTTTTTTAATATTTAGTTAAAAGAAGGTGCTGGTGTGACCACAAGTCGTGCACATGTTCATTATATAGTAACTGAATATGGTGTAGCAAATTTATTTGGTAAAAACTATCAACAACGAGCTAGAGCATTAATTGATATAGCTCATCCTGATCACCGTGAAGAATTAGAACGTGCTGCTTATAAACGTTTTAAGAGTCTTTATTAAATTTTTAAAGAAATCGAAAAGTATGGCTAATATGAGGGCCCTAATAAAAGAAAGATAAGAGTAAGACGAGTATGTCGAAAATGGTGACAGCTAGCGATCTTCGATTTTTAGCAATGGAAAGAGAATATATTAGAGCGTCTTTTTCTCGACAATATATAGCATGAACCATTGTCTAAAAGAATAATCTTTGTAAAAAAAATTTTAAAAACACACGAGCAAGGTCGCTCGATTTGATAAAATTTTAATTTGGTCATGTGTCTTAAGATGAATCCTCCCTCATTTTTATCACACTTCTGGACAATAAGCATAAGAAAAAATTGAAACTTTCAGATTGGATAGGTTCTTACATCATTGTTTGTAGTAGAATGGTCATTGGCAAAAGAAAGTTGCACACTTTGCTATGCCGTCTCTAGTGTTGTCATCTCTTCTACTCGTCATTGCTATTTTGAAGAAAATATCTGTTTTTTACTGTTTTCAAAAGATGCTACTTTGATCGTTTTTTTATTTTTACTGCCTTCTGCCTTAGCTTTACTTTCTTTTTGTTGTCCTGATTATGCTGTTCAAGGTATTTTGTCGTATTGATATAATTCAATAATAGTATACATAGATTTTTTCCTTGATTAAGCAGTTTTTTCAATAACAATAATCGAAGTCTACCGAATCTGCTAATTTTCAATTCTGGCAAGTTTGATTTTTGCAACAATATGAATCAACAAAAAAAAATATAGAAGAAAAAAATGACTGTTATAGTTAGGGGTGTTAATCTTTTAGATCATATTCTTGATATCTTGTCTGCATCTGCTTGAAATGTTCATTACCAGTCAAGTTTGAATCATACAAAATCTTTATAAAATGACAAAAGAAATCCAACCTAAAATCTGAATATTTGGTCATTTGAGTTTTTCAAAATTTCTCAATTACTTCCGAAGCGATCAAGAATTATCAAAGTGAATTTTTCTTGCCAGAAGCATATAGTCATGCGACCAACATCATGAGAATAAAGTTCTACTTAGATAGTTTACTTTTCATTTCGGATTTGTTCTTTTTTTTTTTAATTTTTCTCATAGCGTTATAAAATGCTAAGGCTTACTTGATTTTCATCAGCAAATGAACAGTTATGAAAATACATTCGATTACAAAGATGTCTAATAATCTCAAAAACAAATTCCCGAAAGAATAAAATCTTGAGCACTCTTTAATGACTATCCTACTATAGTAGATAGAACACCAGAAAATAGGACACAATTTACATTCACTCGAGCAGATCTTTCGGGCAAAAGTCATTCTGAATTCGATCTAAGAAACATTTAAAAAGAAACATAATATCACTTAGTTCTGTAGTTTTCACCATTCTTCTCCATACTCTTGTTTTTACTTTTCTGACGACTGAAATCATGGATCTGGCATTGTATTGTGACCGATATAGATAAATTTACAGACATACACATCATTGAGCCTCTTTTTTCTTTATTTCACGTGTGTGATAATTATTCTCATTACTTCCCTAATAAAAGTAAATTATAAGAGTTTGTAACAATGATGATTTGAATTCTCTAAGAGATAAGTGTCTGATATTTTCCTTTTTTTAGCTGAATTTCAAGAACATCTTCGTGTTTTTCACAGGGTTTTTATGGAGAAATTTTTTGATTTTTCCCCTGTTTTTTCTAGAAAAACCTTCCGATCGAATGGTGATTTTTAACGAAAAACTTCTAATTTCTCACATTTGGATTTGGTAACCTACTCTACATAGCATTTACATGTCTTTCTTTTTTCTCGTTCTCATTCTAGTTGATAGTAGCGTTTTTCTCAAGACAAAAAAAGCCGATCCTGATAAAAACTGATTAATTGTTGAATAATTTATTTGAAGGGTGTCAAAAACTGATCCTAATGGATGTGAGGATCCTTTAGGATCGAATAAAACTAAATGAAATGGGGGAAAAGTGGCTCCAGAATTAGTGACTAAGAGCAAAAGAAAGATCCAGGACACATAGATGTTTATGTGTCTTAGGAACTTGTGGCGTATTATACTGGATTCTGCGCGTTTTTAGAATCCATCAAGATCTACATTTCGTCGATCAATTTCATATTATCGTAATGCATAATGGTTTCTGCTGCATTCTGGTTATCTCTAATAGATTGTAATGGATTGTATTAAATTTTAGTCGATTACGGTAGTTTGTGACACCTTTTGACACATTTCTATAAATCTATTTGAAAATCTATTAAGACTTTAGGATTCATTTTGTCTCCGTTCGCCTAAGAGTGTCAGAATTTAAGACAATCTGTCAGTCTAGTCTGAATCCTGTTGTTCATGTCAGAAGCCTGAAAAGTTCTCTCGGAATTCTGAATCTGAAGATTTCTGCCATGTTTTATTCAGAATTTCATTTCAAATTATAGTAATACTGGTTTACAAGATATCTCAATCTGAAAGAGAATTATTCTCAGAATTTTGTCAAGTTTCTGGACAGATTTTTTTTATTATTTAAGTATGAAAGATTCACTCTGACACTTACTCAAGACTTTGAAAGGAATTACAGAAAGTATGACACTTAAATGTTATCTAGATTTTATCAGAATCTGTTGGGGATCTCTGCGCCATGATTCTTTCCGGACTTAAAGTTAAACGATTCTATGCCATTTTCTTACACATTTCTGTCACTAATATCTCTAGTAGACGTTTTCAAGATTCTCTTAGCATCTCTTTAGCGATAAGCATTGCGAATCTTTCCTAGAGAAGACTTAGAATCATCAGGATCTTTCTGAGAAAATATCAAGATTGAATGAAGATCTTTACAATTTTCATTTAGAGTCTGCTCAAAAGTTGATCTTGAGAATTCTAACAAGATTTATGACTGATCTGGTTCAGGGTTTTGGAAAAAAATGATGAAATGGTTTTACCAAAACTTTAACCAGCTCCTAGTTAGAATACTTTAAAGATATTCAAACCTTTTAATCCCAAGAAATAAGACTGTGCATGTTTGGTAAAATACTACCAGCAACAAACGGAAGAGTTACTCACGATTTTACTATATTTTTGTTTCAACTCTGACAGGAATCTAAGAGTTTAAAAATATACCTGGATTTTATCCTAATATTCATTTGCATCGCCATGTATGTAAGTGGAGAAATTTGGGCAAAATCTTAGAAAATTTTTATTCATACTTTTTTAAGATTTATATTCCATACGATATGATATTCACGGCATGGAACCTAGTTATTTTTCGGACTTTGTTTTCATATAAAACTTGAAAACTCCTTAAAATAGAGATTTTATTATCAGATTAACTGTAGCACGAACTTTTCCTTTAAAACTTTCTTTTTTTTAGAAAGAGATGAGCTCTTCAATAAAATTTTCCACTGTATTTGATTTATTTGTGTTAAAAAATCAAAAAATTCTTTTTTATTCAAACTGAAATCAACATTTAATAGTAGAGTCTCATGATAAAAATTAAATATACTAAGCTTAATATTGAGTTATTCAAATTTTTCTTGAAATAATACATGTCTGCATAAAGTTCAAATGGATAAATCCGCCGGATTTCTACCACTTTTGTGGAAAAAATTTTTTTTTCGGTTTTGATAGTCTAGTTAGACGTATCGTCGCTGAAAATGGTCTCAGGTAACAATTAAAATCTTTTTGAACATACAAAATATGGAGATCAATACCAGTTTTTAGAAACACTCCACACATGTAAAGGGTGTTCAACAAACGCCGCATCTTTAAATTGTGAGTGACTTTTTTCATACTTTTGTTTGATGTAAAGATCTGAAATATTTGTCACATATATATCTAATTAAGATCTTTTATTTCTGAAAATTTTAGCTCTCTAACTAGGTCTAGTGGTGGAATGCATTGGCAAGACTGAAATACATAAAATTTTCATACTTGATTTTTTCACATTTTTACCAAGAAACTATTGCAAAAATTGAGTATGAAAGGACGGGGGGCGATTTCTACAGAAGTCGGCCCAATTTCATTTTAATGATCTACTCGGGTAGAAACAAAGGAAATGATGGTAGAAAGTATACCTTATGGTTTTCAAATGATTTTGCTAGGTATTTACAAGTTCAGGATCCGATTACTTCTTCAATTTTCTGTGTATACATAGGGGCATCTTTTGGTTGTCAAGTTTTACATATATGTACTTGTTACTTAATTCAAGCCGAATGAATTATATATCAGTAGATAGGCCATGAAAAATACTTCAAAATCCTATATGACAATCGTTTATCAAAAATGTAAAAAAAATAATTTCTTGCCGAAATACTTGTTCAATACCGTTCAATTACTGCGTTGGTGTCCAGTATAAACCATCCTATGCGCTGAGTTAGAGTTTCCCCACCATGAATTTGATACCATTCGATAGAGTTTTTCATGGACTACAAATCCATGTATAATTTGTTTGCTAATAAAGCTGTTAACATCTCTTAAGTCCCGANTTAGTTAGTCTTTGTAAAAGAGAGCAAGATTATTAATAAAAAATCGTACTTTTTTTCAGACTTTCTATCGCCGATAAAAAATAGAAGAGTCGTCTTTGTGTTTCTTCAATCATATGATATTAATTAATTGGCCCTCATCTTCTTTAATAAAGATTGATGTTAGATATAGGTTCTGAAATTTAACCAATTCAAATGTGAAACAGATTTGAATTTAAAACATTCCTATCGACTGCATTGATAGGTCATATTCATTTATGTTTATCACAATTCGCTCTACTGCATTACAATCTCAGATCGATGAAGAAATCACAATGTCAGGGAATCTAACAAATCAGGTTCATCGCCTGATGGACACTAGATTATAGTTTATTTGGCTTGTTTTTTCATATTAATCATGCTTCTCTCTTATTAAAAGCATGACTCACCCATATTCGAACACAACCTATGTATAAGCCATTAGCTTCTGCCCACATATAATTATTAGGGAAAGTATTGAAATCTATTGCTTCGCTACTACGCCACCTATGAAAGCTTCGATCTATAGAACTTGAAATTGAAAATCGTGATGTTATAGAAGAAAAACTATCTTTTACTATAAACTAAATTTGAGATACACATTCTTTTGATCTATTCTTATTTTCATTAAATCATAAAAAGTTACATAAACACTTTTCTATCTTGTCATACATTCTAAATTAGGTAACATATAGTTTTAGTTTAGTTTGTTTTTTAGCTATTATACAAATGTCAAATAAAAGACGATAATATATATTTTTCTTTATATTTAGGTTGTGGTGGTACACCTCAATATCTCAATCGTCTACTGGCTAAACATGCTAATGAATTTCGACGTGTTGAAATCATGAGCATTCTTCCTCTTGATAATACATTTACCGATCCAAAATTAAAGGATAGCTTTTTTGTTAATAGTCTTTTTGCATCGGCTTTCGTTCGACCATGTATTGCTAATGGTACAGCATCGTATATTCCAGCTTTTCTTAGCGAAATGCCTCGTCTTTTCGATCAAAATATTCTTCCACTTGATGTTGTTCTCATACAAGTATCACCACCTGATAAACATGGTTATTGTTCACTTGGTGTTTCGGTTGAAGCAACAAGAGCTGCTTTACGAAATGGGAAAAAAATTTTTGCTCAAATAAATCGAAATATGCCACGTGTACATGGTGATACATTTGTACATATAAATAAAATCGATGCTTATGTTGAACATGATGAACCATTAATTGAAGTAGATTATTCAAAAGAAATTTCTGATGCCGAAAGAACAATTGGAAAACGAGTAGCTGAATTAATTGATAATGGAAGTACACGTAAGTAATGGAAGAAGTGATAAATATTTTGTTACTTTTTTCTAGAAAGGAGATTTATCCCAGAACTAAAGAAAAAAGGAATTTCTTCAAGACTTCTAAGAATAAAATAATATTGTCGTACATTGTTATAACGTAAAGTATTAGAAATTCATATGTATTTTAGACTTTTAAATATCTATTAGTGACAAATAGTACTTTGTTCTAACACTTAAACGTAGTCATACGGTCGATAAATAAGTGCTTCAAACAACGATATTATTCTTTGATAGTTTCTACACAAATTGATGTGCTTGAGCATTTGAATGACTCATTCTTAAGGCTATCGTTAGAAAGAAATTTCAATGTAGATTGACAGAGATATTGATTTTACAGATAGACGCTGTTTGAATGTTATTATTTATTTTTTGAATAATGCTATTTCCCCTGACTTATCAGAAATCTCATTTTCTGTTTTTTTACGTGAAAAATACGTAAATGTTCGAAACTAAAAAACAGAGGTTTAGCTTTTAGAATACTATAAATCCAGACACGAAAATCAAAAGTGAAGGCAACTGATTTTACTATTGGAGAATACTTCCAAATATCTTTGATAAAACTTTCAACTTGATCGTTAAAAACTCTTTTCGAGAACTAGAAGTAATCGAAAAAGATGGACGAACAGGGTACTCTTAAATAGCATAAGAAAAAAGTGTTTTATTTTTCTCTCGATTATTTTTCATAAATTTCTTGCATTACTTCATGAACAATATTTATTAAAATATTAATCTATTCTTTGTATTCCAAATATTAAAACAATAACTTACTCATATCAAAAACTTCCATTTTTAGTTCAATTGGGTATTGGCACAATTCCAGATTGTGTATTAAAATCTCTTGAAGATCATAAAGATTTAAGTATAGCATCAGAAATGATATCTGATGGTGTTATGACATTAATGGAAAAAGGTGTCGTTACGAATCGTTATAAAAAATTTCATCCTGGAATAACAACATGTACATTTATATTGGGCACAAAAAAACTTTACGATTTTGTTAATGATAATCCAAATATATTTGCTTTTGATGTTGGAATAACCAATGATCCAGCACGAATTCGTCAAAATCCAAAAATGTGTGCTATTAATGCTGNCAGAAAAATTCGTTTGATTTTCTGTAAAAATTTCAACCAATCATTTTCATTTGTCAAACTTGATTGATTTCGCCAGTCCTGCTTGTCTTCAGTCTGAAGACAGCGGTCCCCAGGAGGTTAATTGTTCGTTATTTCTTTTTCTTTTCTATGGTGACGCCACGTGTACAGCTGGAGAAAAAATAAAAAACAGGGCAGAAAAAAAAAAGGTATAGTTATTTTAGTCATGCACACATTTGATACAAGACATGATGCAGCGAATTAAACGTTCTGAGACAATTTCTAACGATGAAATCGGTTTACAAACACAGCTTCGACAATCCAAGCTATTTCAGCATCACCGTGGTAATCCTTTTCACTCTGCAATTCCTGTATCCTCGCCACTCTACTTAGCTTGTCAAAACAACGATCTAGCACTTGTAGAGTCATGTCTGAAAAAAATGAAACCTGAAGAAATTGACTTTCAATATCCACCAAACAATGAAACTGCCCTACATGTAGCAACACGAAATCAGCACAAGGAAATTATTCGAACTCTTTTATTTTACGGCGCACAACGATCACTAAGAAATGCACATGACCAACAAGCTTATCAACTGGCAGAAACCGATGAAATCAAAGATTTATTTAAACGTCAAAAATCATCCCGTTTTGCATTTCTACATAGTCGCTGTAAAACGACTACCTTGTCTCAAAGCAAGATTAAATGTGAAAGTTGTTCACTGGTAAATGATAATACTTTCTATGAATGGGAATTAGTTGATCGAAATGCATCACAGAAAGCACTGAGATTTCGTCATGAATTGAAACCGTCTACATCAATGAAAGAAAAAGAGTTGAAGCAAAGACTTTATTCAATAAAGAAAGGTTATATCAATGCACGCCTACAGGATGTTTCTGCAGTAGATGGTGCACGTATATGTAATTATTTTAAGCGTGCACTGCTTCAACAAGATCCGTACTATATTATAACTGCATATACCATTTGTCAAAATTTTTCAGAGTTATTAAACAAAGATATGGCACGTAATGTTATACATGATTTGAAAAATGGTTGTAGCAAGTTTTCTTGTGATTGTCTCTATTCAACAGAAGATGGCACTAAATCAATTACAAATATTCTTCTTCACCATCCAAAGTTTCAAAAAGTCAGTTTCAAAGGTGAAGTCTATCGTGGTATTGTCGTGCCTAAAAATACTCTAGATCATTATAAAGTTGGTTCTTATATTATTACAACTACGTTTCTCTCAACATCAAAGGATCCTGCTGTTGCACAAGCATTCTGTGATAAAGGATCAGCAAATCCAACTATGCATTCATTCTTCTGTATTTATGAAATACTTAATGACAATCGTAGTGGTCTTGATATATCGAAAATATCAGAATTTGAAGATGAAAATGAAGTATTGATCTTGCCGTACTCAGCTTTTCTTATTACAAAGATTGAAGAAGGACCAGAAACAACAAATATTTATTTGAAAGAACATTGTTTAAAACACATGTTTGGTAACGACGGATCACAAGAATATTCTATTCAGTCGATTATGCGCCCAGTAGAACTTGTCCGAAGCAGTCTATTGAATAACATAAGTGAAATAGTTTTGCAAGAGGATGACGGTATAAGATTACGATCAAAGACGATGCCTGCGTTAGAGACAAATTTTTAATTTCGACTAGTTACTTTATTTACATATTGATTATACAGATAACAACAAAGTCTAACTTGAATTCATTGTTCTACTTTTTATGAAATAAAGAGAAGTACAGCTAAGCGGTTATTTTGCCGAAAGTTAAGTGTGGTTGCGGGTGTGAGCGTCGGTGTGTCCTTGCCTAACAGCCACAGCTCCGCTCATGCTTACACCCCAATGTAATTGTTTCATTGCTTTGGATTATAAGCTTTTTATTTTCCTTACCGAAGTTGTTTATTTTTTTATGATAACATACTGCATCAATTAATACATCGTGAAAAAAGAATTTCGAAAAAAAAATTCTTTTGTTGTCTTTATATAATAGATAGTGTTTTTCAGATATTATAAAGAAGGCTCACGAAATGTTTTGAAGTCTACTGTAAAAATATAAGTCAAATCGGTGAGATTAATTGAGCAATGTTGACCGCAGCTTGCATGCAATGTTTTATAAGAAAGATTGATTCTTTTGCTTTTACTAGATAAACTATACTGAATTTCTTTCTTGTGAATAGAATAATAGAATTGATTGAAGAGGAAAAGTATAAATTAGCTTATCGTATTTAGTTAGAATTTTTCTGAAAAAGAAAAAAAGATGCTTCAGTCAAAGTTATACATTTTATAGCCCAATCTCTTGTATTTATAAGACTAGAAACAAGCTTGTTCGTCACATTAACGAAGTCTATAAATTTATATTGTCGAAGAAATCTGTGTGATATTTGACATATCACTGCCGGTTATTTCTCGATTGGACCTATAAATACATAATTTTGTCCTTAACACAGCTAATGAACGTTTAAATTCATTCATATAAACTTTTGATGGATAAATATATATTAGGAACGTCATTGTAAATGGTATATTTGCTAGTGCTATCAAAATAAAGTATAGACGTAAAGTCGTTGCTGGACTAACATGATAACAGGAGTAAATCACATGTTTAAAAAGGTACCATGGTAATATACATAGGATATAACATAGTGGTGGTATAAAAAAATCCATATGTTTCTTCATTTGTTGTCTCCAAACAAACCAATATTCTTGTTCACCAAAATTAATATAGACTTTATGTACACTAATGTTTTTGAGCACAAAGAGACTTGATAAAATATGTAAAACACATGTAACTAGAACAGTACTAAATTCAACGCATTTTACAGTTTTTGCTAAAATAGGAGTAACTGTCGATGCGGAAAATCGACCAAAGTACAACAAAACTTGAGGTATTTGTGTAAGCAAAACAAATATAAATAACATAGATGAGAGAAGACAAGCACGTTGTCTTGTCGCATACAAAGCGTAATTGAAACATTCTATAAAAAGACGTTCACAAGCAATCATACTTGAATACCACATTGCTGAAAAGTTTAATATATTTAATGAGATAGCTGACAGATAAAATACAACTGTACGTTGTAATGATTGTGTATCACATATAAGTGATGTTTCAAGAAATATGCAACGTATTAGATTGCTGAGTGAGAGAAGTATTAGATAGACACCAAGATTTGTTATACGTATAGATAAACGAAGACACGTTTGAATGGATAATAGATTATTTACAATAGAGAATATAATAATTAATTGAAATAAGAGAATAAATAGATATTCTGCATTTGGTAAATATAGAGTTAAACTGTGGTATCTTGACTGCTGTAAAATATCTGTACATGGTGTAGTAGTTTCGATTGTAATCATTAGTGTAGTCATTTCTATTTCTTCTTTGACATATGTGTATACCTATTTACCGAGGAAGTGAAAAATTGCGTAGTACCATTTTATATAAATATTGAAGTATATAGAACTTTCGTTCTGTCATAGTAATGATGACGTCAACTTTTCTGCGTATATTGATTTGCGCAACTTTTTTGGTTCTAATATGCAATTAATGAAGAGAGAGAATAAATAGAAAGAAAGTAAAACACGTGTTGACAGTATTTTTACTTTTTTTTTCTCACAATTTTTATGAAACGTTTGTTCAAATAGGCATTTATTGATCATAAAACAATCAACTGAGTTAAAATTTCTTTGCCCAGATCGAAGACACCCTATCGGATCTTATAAAATTTCCAGTCATTCCGAAAATTTCAGATGATCATATTCAAGCTGGATCCAGTCATCGGAATCTGACGATTTCGGAAACTTTCCAACATCGAAAGACGATGGATTCGATAAAAGAAAATATACTTATCACTCTCATAAACCATCGATAGACAATCCTAGCCCGACTGTTACTAGCGAACATAGTCCAGACACTCAACCATCATCGAACTTTTAATATCTTCATCTTATTTTCTCTTCCTACATTCAGTCAGCAATACTTAATCCGTTATTTCACACGCAGAATGCCAAGTGAGAGGTGAGGTGTGGATGAGATGGTTTAGCTAAAAATCACACCCATACTGACACTGTATTATTAATCTATTTTCGAACTTTTCAATTTTTTACATATTCTACTTGTAATGACTCTTTCTTATAGTCAATATTATTAATGTATCGGCATGATATATTTTGTATGTTGAATATATCAATAAATTTATGACAGCACGAATCCTTGGATATTCTCTATTTGTTATTGACTTAGTAATTAGTCATTAATAATGCAATGGACATTGTCGAGCTTCAGCTGAACCAAATAGTATGAGAACAATTTAATCTTAGTATCGGTTCACTAAGTGAAGAATATATATAAATTAGGTTGGCTTAGTCCTTCTCTTGTTTCAATCTATTTGTGATATTGGCCCATAGATATTATTAGATAAATTGAGTTACTTTAAGTCACATTTAGATGAGACTCATTTATGATAATGATCATTTAGAATAACTGAAATTAAAAAAACCCTACGTAGCATATCGATTCTCGACAGATATCTTGAATGTATGGGTGAAGGAAAAATCCACATCCGCAATCAAGATTCTTAATTGGATCACTTATAAATTGAGATAGAGTCCTGACGATGAACTTTGATAGAGATTCTAAATAAAACCTTGCAAATATTGTAACTTATTTTTTTGCATTTTCTCATCAAGGTTTTCATCATCAGTGGTACTGTTTTGCAAGGATCGATAATATTTGTTTCTAAAACATCATGAAAAGACCATCAGAATACGAATGAATAAGAATTGAAATAGAATTTTGATTGAAATTTGGCAAGACTTACTCGTTTAAGATTTTCGTTAATCTTGTTTTATTATAAGTCAGATTCTTATATGAAGATATCGAACAGATCTTGTTTAAAAAATCTGATAAAATCTTATCAGGATGATGGTTGTTATTCCTGTCTAGATTCTGACTGGAATGGAAAATGAATTCTAGTATGTTTGTACACTTTAAGAATTGACATAAATCTTGAGCAAGATCATTAAAAAAGACCTACAAACAATATTTGTTAATCATGAAAAATTCTACACACAGAAAGTACTAAGATTGGAAAAAGATCATTAAAAGTCTTTTAAGACTTTATTTAAGAAATAAAAAGAACTGAGATTAAAAATTCATCGAACGTACTTCAAAATAACTTTTTTTTATCTAGCTTAGTCTGCTGCACGTACTGTTCATCGGATTTAAATAAATTTTCAATTGACATCTGCATTTTCTCGTATCAATTTAACACATCATCCGTGTGAATTGCAACCAAATAGAGTTAATATTAAATATCGTTCAAATACTTATGTAATCACTTCTTATATATTAGACGTCTTGTTTGTACAAACGCCTACAAGTATACTGCTACTCGCTCGACTATTTGCATTATTACTTGTATTTGATATGGGCAAATTCAGATTAAAGTTCGAAACTTGATTTTAACCTCATTCCTTAGTTTCAAAAATTTCCTCTGAAGAATTTTATTTTGCATCTTCATCTATAGATTTTTTTCTTCTTTATAAATGTGTTTACTGATTGTAAAGTATAAAAAAAAAGGTATCTAGTAAAAATCTGTGTTGACTGACATAGCGCAGAATAAGTGCATTGAATAAAATCCCTTCTTTTTAATACATATATACACAGTAATGAGAACAAAAAGATTCATTGAATATTCTTCATCTTGTAATTTCAAGTTGAACAAACATAACTTATTAAAGAGTTTGCTAAATTGTACTAAACGAAAGATATTCTACGAATGAAATATTTATTAAAATAAACATTGTTTATCAAAAGTCTTATCGAAAAAAGGAACTCTTTTATTTGTGTATTGAACTCACTTTTTTGGATTTATAATCACTCTTTAAACTTTAATTTCGTCGAAAAAATGTATCATGTGATGAATAACGATGACAGAAAAGGATTATTTCAAATCACACAGAAAGTAATGAACTTATTGTTATATATGTGTTTCGAAAACTCTTCTAATTGATAACTCTACAATACACGTAGTGATCGAATCAAACTATGAAGACAACCGCATATCAAATATATAGATGACAAGACATTTTATTCTTTGAAATAATTAAATTTTTTTAGTTTTTACGCATTCAACTCTTTTCTTGTCGTTGAAATTTATTAGCTCAAACAGCATCATGCAACATTGAACTATCATTAGTAACTGACTATTTTAAGTATGGATGAAAATCAAATCTCGACTCATAACTAAGATGTAAAACTTTAGAGTAACAATAAAGATTTGCATCACACCTGAACTCTTTTAATGCGTGATTTTTCATGTAGATACAAAAGATTTATTGGGAAATTGAATCATCTAGTGTCATACGATCTTAACTGTCTTTTCTCGTCGTTGTCTCTTACGATCATTGAAGTCTTCTTGTTTACAATATGAATATTAATAAAAAGTGAATCATTATTTTAGGAAAAAAACTCTTGTTAGAAAATGTACGATAGACAATTCAATAGAAATACAACGAAGTCAGTTCGAAATGATTTGACCTTTTTTTATAATTGGATTAACCCTTTCAGACCCACCATACTAAATATAGTACGGTTTTTTCAAGTTTCGTCATCTTTGAATAACTCAAAAATGCAAAAAGACGTCGGCAAATGATTTTCTCTATTATGTAGAGAAAGCTTCGGTGCACTCACCTATATTAAAACTGTCACTATCATAAACTCATTCACGTAATCAATATGATCAGCAACCGTGTAATAGATAACTGCAGTAGAATACAATGAGTATGTTTAGTGGTCAATAGTCATAATCTATATCAGATAGTTGTCAATATATCATGCGGACTTGTGCGATATTTATCGTGGTTTTTGACACTTATCATCTTTGACCTGCCAATTTTTTTTTAACTCTACGATTTTAATTTTACTCACAGTTTTATTAGTCGCTAATTTTCTACGTGAAATCATATAGTTGAATTATTATTGTACAATTGAAAACCATTTATTGTCACTGTCTAGTCTAAATCGCATATTGTTTTCTCATTTTCTCGATTCTTTGTACTACTACTTATCATTAAAAACAACAGCGTTGACTGATGAAGAAAAAGTCAAAAAACGTACATTACCTGCCATCAATTCAGACAGAAAGAGATATAATATATTAGGAAGGAAAATACAATTTGATATGCCAAATGAAAACGAGCCACATCTTATAAGTGTTGATGCTCAAGAAAGATGCGCATTTTGTAGTATAGACAAAAATCAATATCAAAGTTCTTATCACTGTTCTCATTGTTGTAGAGCTTTCTGTATCGATTCTGAGAGAAATTGCTTTTATAAATACCATAAAAACATTTTGTAATTAATTTTTTTGCTTTATATGTCGTATATTCTTGCACATATTTTTGTAAATAAATTGATCTCTTCGTTAACTAACCTAGTTTTGCAGATTTCCCAAAAGTTTTGATGGATGTATAAACAACTCATAATATTCATCTTAACTATAAAATCTCAAAGAAATCCGTCCATTTGCCGAGCCATGAGCCTGAAGGAGTTAAACTACGTACATCATTTGTGACGTTCGGATCATTAAAATACTTGTAAAGTCAAAAACCATCTGATGAAACATTTAAGCAAGATTGAAATGCGTCATGGTTGCTTGACACACCCACACTCACAAAGTATCGGTTCTTATATCTCTTCATAAATACGTGTTGGAAACAACTTTTTTAAATCAGTTGATAGGAAATTTTCTTTTCTCTCGAACTATGTATATGAGTTATTTTCGTCATACAGTCATAAACAAAACGGTATGAGAACAAAGAAGCAGAGAGAAAAAAATCTATGCATGTTTTATTACATTCATAATAATGAAACAAATGCCAACATTTACATCTCTTGATAAAGACATGTTGAAGCGAGAATTTTTTTATTCACTGATAGGAAATTTTTACTTCTTTCAAACTATATATGATTTGTTTTTGCTACACTTTCACAATGAAAGCGACGCGAGAAAAAAAGAGAAATACTTGTACAGAAAATTTCCGATCTTTTTTAGTGACTTATAAGAGAAATCTTTTAAAACAGCGGTTAATTTTTATGCAAAAGAAATAGCCTAGAAAGTTAGATGTATGATATTGTGATCAAGTATCTTAAATATGAATAAACTTCATTTTTACGAAAACATAGTTGTCCAGTAAAGATTTGTTGTTGAAATGTACACAATCACTGAAATCTGTTGATAATCATTGTAATATAAACTAGCGCAAGTTAGCTGAGTGTTTCACTGTTAACGATGCTCTATTAATTATTATTTCCATTCAAGGACACTTGGTGAACACCAGAAAACATTGTAGATGTGTAAAAGTTAATGGTAAGCGTAAATAAATCGTTTGTTCTGGAATAGCTGTTTTGTAAAAGGATTAATCATTTTTGTACAAGATATCTCTTATAAACGAATAAAATATTTCATATTTCTTGTTAAAGTATTTCTTTCTTTTGTCACTTTTGATTGTGAAAGTAGAACAAAAGAAAATCATGCATAGTTAGAAAGAAGAGAAATCTTTTTATTAGTTGATAAAAAAATTATCGTTCCAGCATGTATTTATGAAGAGATATAAATGTCGACATTTGTTTCGTTATTTTGAATTTTATGAAAAATTCAGAATTGTTTTGTGTATACTTCTCTTTCTTTTCATGCCGTTTTGTTTATGACCGTATGATAAAAATAAGTCATATATAGTTCGAAAGAGAAGAAGATTTCCTATCAACTGATTAAAAGCATTCACCTTTCTACACGTATTTATGAAGATATATAAGGACTGACATTTGGTGCCATTACTTTTGCATCATATACGGTAAAAAATGTACCAAACGCATCCTGTGGAGTTTCGTGAAATTTTACTACACCTTTAAAGTATCGTAAAAATGCACATTTCCGCATTAACGTTTCGTAATCTCATAGATTTCGTATAAAAACTCTTCCAGATTTCTCAACAGAAAGAGTTTCACAGTGAACTTCTCAAAGGTACCGTAGCCCGAAGGTTTCGCACTGAACTGTTTTCTTACCGGGTTTCCATCATAGAGACAGCTATTCACCGATCAGAAACTCAACTAATTTAAATTGCTCCTATATTCACCTATCTATCTTCCATTCTACAATCAAATTTGGATATTTTATTAGTATATTTACACTTCGTATTTTCCATAGGCAGTCACGTTTGGTTCAGTGTTTGGACCAGTACAAGTACAATAAATTTTTGCTTAAGCACGTTGTAAGTACAATTTTATGTTCCGCTTTGACAAATACATCCTGGATCTATATTTCGTTTTAAGTTCTGAAAATTCGAATCAAGCCTGTCTCTACTAATTAGTACTTGTAGAAATGGCTTTAGCGCAAACAGATGTATAATGTGTGAGAAAAAAGAAGTGACGATGTCAGTTTTATCGTCAGAGCTAGATTTTCAGAAACACACAATACAAGAAAAATAAAGATTTTCGTTCTGAAAAGATCTACAATATATACAAAATACTTGGAAGCATATGCAGAGCAGAAAAAACAAGCCAAAAAAGTTGAAAATTCTGACTTGGGAAGGAAGATTACTTTAAATACTGGCAATTGTACTTAGTATCTGTGCTAAGTACAAATGTACTATATATATATATATAGAAGATCCAAAATACATAAAGTAATAAGGCATAGATATAGGAGTTAGATCGAGAAATAAGGGGTCAGGTATAGAAATATGTCGATAGAAACAGCTATTAACAGGATATACATGAGTTAAATGGTTTTATTTTAGATGTGGAAGATGATTTCAACTACAAAACTTTTTTGAAGCAAGAAAAAAGCATGTTGTACGAAAGCTTTTTTCTGCGAAATTTAAAAAGGCTTTCAAATTCATTTCAATTCTCGAAACCCTTTTGTAGGTTGCGTATGGCACCTTTCCTTTTCAGTGTATGTTATATATATATATCTGCATTTGCTATGTTTAGTGCCAATATTGCTTCTAATTTCAGTGTTATCATCGAGAAGTGATAGTATAATCAGTAATACTAATAGAGTCTTAGAACAAGGAAGACCACAAATAAATAGTAAATCGATTGATTCACTCGGTTTCATGTGTAACTTCAGATAATCTCTCTTTTTTATTGTGTTATTTATTTATATAATTGAACTAAGTACTTTTAGATATGAAACAAAATTTTGGAAGTTTAGTATGACGGAAAAAAGTTCCCGGATGTCGGGTACAGCTTCTCAGACTCGGATTGGGTCCACATACGAAAAGTTGTACTCATGCAGGACACTAGTAATCGCTCAGAAAAGTACTTTAATTATAAACAAAGCGTTGAAATAATAAGAAAAGATATTCTACTGACTGAATACATGATAAATGGACACTAATAACTTCCATCGTTCAGAAGAATTTTTCATTATTCACAACAACTGTTATCGTGGCAGATATATCTTTTCAAAGTACTTTTTGCATTTGTTTTCATTTGAAAAAAAGAATTTTTCTGAAAATATATCTTAACTATAAGAATATTCGACAGGTAACCATTTGAACAATGTTTCTTGTAGTCTTTTGCTTGTTGGTGATATAGAGAACAAATGATAGAGAGAAGAATTTTGCTAACGTTAGTGTTCTTAATAATTGTCAACAACTGTTACGTTGATGGTCGTGCATTGACATTTACGCAGCAACAAGTTCAATTTTGTATAAATCAGGATGTTAAACGACAGCCAGTAATTATCGATACTGACACAGATGTAGATGATCTATGGGCAATTTATTATGTTCTAAATGTAAGTATCAATGTCAAAAAAGATCAGACTATAAACGTCTTTGTGATAATCGACGTTTAAGGTACCAACTATTGATGTCCTTGCAATAACAACTGTCGGCAATGGATACAGGTAATTCCACGGTTAGCTCACATTCATTGAATATTGCCTCTGTTTATCTTTTATTAAGCAAACCTTTTTTTTCGGGATCAAATGTTCTTACCTTCCTCGATTTGATTGGTTGTTCAAATGGTGTTGGAGTCGGTTATGGAGTGAGGTAAAAAGTTGTAAAAACATTCTATTCTTATGGGCTTACATTCTTTTCGTTTCTTGTTTTACAGTCTTCCATTAATGTCGTCGGGCTATACAATTCCATTATCATTATTGGATACACTCGATTCTTATATGACGGCTGCAACTTGTCTTAATCAGTCGGCAAATATATTTCTTCAGCCATCTCCATTTGGTGCGATTGAATTAATAAAACTATCATTGAAATATTCAAAAATACCAGTCGATATTTTGGTTCTTGGAACTATGACAAATATTGCTACAGCTATTAGCGAAGATCGATCAATTATATCAAAAATAGGTACACTTTATTTTTCTGGTAAGAATACTTCTATATATGAGATACTTTTTTCGATAAACATTGAAAAATATTATTTATCTTTGAAGGTGGTCAATTCAAATCAATAAATTTATATCCGTCTCTCGTACCAAATTTGACAGTAGTTAATTATCCATATAGCGAAGAAACGACAGACGGTAGTCCGAATGCTTACTTGGGTGAGTATCTAGTTTTTTTTATATCTTTTTGCATGAAAGAAACTTTTAATTGAATTTCATGAAAAATGAAAAGAAAAAGTAAACATTTGAAATTTCACATTTCTCATTCTACGGTAATTAATTTATTATAGCTATTGAATTGCAGAGTTTTGTGTGTCATAAATCTTTTTTACTTTGAAAAAATCGTGGAAAATATTTAGTGTGCTTAATCAAACGTTGAGTACTTGAAGAATTTTTGATTTAGATAAATTAAGTTAGTTTGTATCGAGATACTCAACTGTCTTTCACTCGAATTGTTTTGTCTAAATTTTACCATATATTTTATGCATGTGTTTCAAACTTAGATATACTTGCTGTACAACGCGTTGGCACGAGTGGAATAAAAAATATTGTTGCTATGCCGTTAATCACACAAGATACAATGCCAGTCAATCTGACACAATTGAATGAAACATTGACAAAACTGAACATTCAATTGAAACCCTTCGTGCTAAACTTTATATCATCACTTGCAAAATGTACAAATCAAACTGAGTCTAACATGAAATGGTAAGTCTTATTTTCTGATATACAAAAATGTCAACTGATCATTTCATATACATTTTTATAGGTGGGACAATAGTGCCGCCCAATTCATGGTACAAACGCAAACAAATAATACTCAAGGATTTTGTCTTCGAACACAGAAAGTTAAATCTCTTTATATTCTGTCGGCTGATTCTTATCAATTCTATGGTCAAGGTATGATCGATGTGGAAACGTATTTACCAAATGTTAGTGGACTAGTGGATTATACAATATGTACGGAAGCCAATTCAGACATATTTTTGTCTGAATTCTTGAATAAAATTAGTTCAGAAAAACTTTATTCATGTGAACGACAATATAACCAACGATTTGATATCAAATTACAACAATGTATGCTAAAATTTGAAGATGCTGGACAACAAACAAATATGGCAAAAACAAATCATTTTCTAAACCCTATTTTTCTTTTGATTTATTTCTTTATTTTTTGTATGTTACTTATTCTTTAAATTGAAAGGATAGTGTCTAATAGTGATAATTAACTCATTTATCATCTGTCTGCATGTCTCTCTAAATCACAATTTAAAAGTCGCTTACTTTATGCTGTTTTTTATTCAAATAAAATAGATGCGCTGAGAACATATGAAATTATAGAATTCGCTGAATGAGTTTTAGTAGACTTAAGATGAGAGGTCATCAAAAACTTTTCAGACAAAATGTCGAAAGTTGAAACATATTTAGGTACACCTGCACAAGAACGACACCGCGACACCCACACTCGGCGATGTGCCCTATCAATTAGATCATTTAGTGTAGAGAGTGTCGTTTTTCTATAGTTGTATAGAAGCTCTTTTCAAAACTTTTGTTCGACAGGTCGAAGTGCATTTACAATTCAAAATACTTTTCACTCAAATATATATCTGATTGTTATACGTAGGTGAAGTTAGCTCCATATTCGAGTAAAACCTTCCCATATTCGTCCAGGAATGTGTTCCAAGTGTTCCAACCCGGTTCCAAGTAGAACTCAACAAGCTCTATCTAATGGTAACCTTGGACTGTCCATAGGCTAAACCAAACGTCCGAAACATCCAAAATACTGCCCTTTTTGTAAAGGAAATGGGAAACCGACTTACTGAAACCGTCCCATATTCGTCCAGGAGCGTGTTGCAAGCGTTCGAGCCTGGTCAGAAGTACAAATGGATGAGCTCTATCCAATGGTAACCTCGCATCAATTGTAATCCAAACCATTGGTTAATAAGCCTCAAAATCAATTGGGAAAAGGCGATTTGTGATTTAGTGAATTAATATGATTCAAAATGATTCAAAATGATTTATAACTGATTTAAAATCATCAAAACTCATTGTTTCACATGATTTAGAATGATTTTATATGATTTAATGTTGGATTTTAGATGATTTAAATCAGCCGTTTTCTCCTTGCTCAAAATAGTG